TCCAGCAGTTCTTCCAGTTCAGTTTCTTTGGCCTTGAAGGGACACTTTAAACACCCAAACAGGTTTGGTGTATAGATAATGTCCTTGCAGTCTTACTATTCTATTCTCTGCCATTTAAGTGTTAATTCAATTTTGTTTCTGTTTATGCGTTCCTGGCCACACCTCCCCTGTCTGTAACTCACTTTTCTCTGAAGTTTTTATCTCCTGCTCTGTTAATTGAACTTTAATCACTCATATTAGGCTGTTGTGTTGCTCTAGCAGGCTATGAACAGGACTGGAGATAATACATTCTAACAGGGTTTATTCGCTAAATTGAGAATTCACAATTAAAGGCAAAAGTAGCCAAAATTAAAGCATAGCTGATTGAATAGAATTTTTCAATTTCAGCTATTTTGGCCTTGAATTTGGCAGTGATACCTATATACCAAAACAACTCTATTAAGCTAAAGTTGTTGTTGTTGTTTTTTCCCCCCCATTTTTTTTAAAATTTGGAATTCACTTTGAATTTGCAAATTTTATTTCAGTGAACAAAATTGTAGGATTTATTTTTATTTCGAGATATATATATATATATATATATATATATATATATATATCGAGATAAAAATAAATCCTACAATATATATATGTGTGTTTTCTATAATGATTTTTGGCTGCATTGACGGCTATGATACTTAGGAGAGTATATTCCCAAAATGACAAATGGTGTAGAATTTAATAAAAAAATTAAATAAAAAAGCAAGCCTTCTCATATTCTCTGCTTGGGCTCTCCCTAAAATATAATGGTAACCAAGACGTGGACCCCGTGCTCACTGTGCCTCTAGGCAGGTCCAAAAAAGGCTGAAACAATCGTCTGGGGTTGCAGTATCTCTCGAGTAAAGATCTGGACTGCCCTTACAGGTGAGATAAGTCTGATATGAACATAGTTTAGGTTCTTCATGTAATGACACAAGTGAGCAAAACCATTTTTGATACCTGAGCTGGGACTAACAGAAGGGCAAGAGCTATTGTGGTTTCTCTGAGCTTTTGCCCATTATCAGAGTTCATATATTCTCTGTTTAATATACTGTATATTACACTCTGTGAGACAGTGGGATTTAGTATGCAATAGGATCCTCAAACACACCTCACACTTTGTGTAATGTAATACTTAGTCAAACATGCATGATTAGAACATGCAAATATCATAAGTTGTATGCAAAGTATTACAAGAGAAGAATGGCAAAATTAATAGGCCATTGCACATTTTCAAACCCATAAAAAAAGTAAATTTTCAAAGAGGTGACTTAGTCATTGATACAGCAGTGCTTGTATGTTATCTGTAAACAATTAATTGCCAGAAAAAGTACATTTAAAAAAAATTATATTTAAAGGATCACTATAGGGTCAGGAACACAAACATGTATTCCTGACCCTATAGTGTTAACAACACCATCTAGCCCCTCTGGGCCCCTCATGCCTCCATAAATAAAGCAAAATCTTACTGTATTTAAGCCTGAAGCTAGATCTGCATGCTGTTTGCCTCAGAAAAACAAGCTGTCTGCTGACATCAGCAGAAGTGGTGGCCTGATCCAATCACAATGCTTCCCCATAGGATTGACTGAGGCAGATCAGGGGCAGAGCCAGCACAATTCAAACACAGCCCTGGCCAATCAGCATCTCCTCATAGAGATGAATTGAATCAATGAATCTCTATGAGGAAAGTTCAGTGTTTGCATGCAGAGGGAGGAGATACTGAATGTTTTAAGCAGCCATGGCCCAGGAAGGATCTCTAACAGCTATCTGAGGAGTGACCAGTGAAGTTATCACTAGGCTGTAATGCAATGGCGTACTAAGGGAGGGGCGGAGGGGGCGTTCAGCACCGGGTGCCAGCAGGGTGGGGGTGCCTTGGGAGGGTGTAGAGAGCCTCAGGCGGCTGCAGCTTTGCCCTGGCGTCCATGAGTGCGTCCATGAGTGTGCACCGCCCGGGCGCAGCATGAGGAGAGGGGCTGAGTGTGCACTTCCTGTTAGTCCGGCCGGGTACAGGAAACAAAAGCTCCCTGTACCCGCGGACCATAGAAGGCTCGGCCACGCTACAGCAAAGGTAAGGGGGGAGGGGAGAAAGAAATTAGGAGGAGGTGGGGGAGGGGGAGAAAAAAATTAGGAGGAGGGGAGGGGAGAAAAAAATTAGGAGGGGGAGGTGGGGGGAAGAAAATTAGGAGGAGGGGGGGGGAATTAGGAGGAGGTGGGGAGGGGGGAAGAAAGAAAGATTAGGAGGAGGGGGAAGAGAAAGATTAGGAGGAGGGGAGAAAAGAAAGATTAGGAGGAGGAGGAGGGAGAAATAAAGAAAGATTTTAGGAAAGAAAGAAAGATTAGGAGGAGGAAAGAAAGAAAGATTAGGAGGAGGGGGGAGAAGAAAGATTGGGAGGAGGGGGAAAGAGAGAAAGAAAGATTAAGAGGAGGGGGGAGAGAAAGAAAGATTAGGAGGAGGGGGGGAGAGAAAGAAAGATTAGGAGGAGGGGGGGAGAAAGAAAGATTAGGAGGGGGGGATTGACATTCATCACACACACATACACACAATGCACCCCTTGCACACAGAAAAACACACAATGCTTTACACACACATACACAAGCAATGCAACCGTTACACACATTCAATGCATCCCGTACATACACAGAAACACACCTTGCAGCCCTTACACATACAAACACAATTTCACACAATGCATTCCTTACACACATATCAGGACATCCCCTACACACTCCACCCCCTGTGAACAAACTCATTGGTGGAACATGAAGGTGGACCCTGGGACCCAGACCTTGAGCTGTGTAAAGGGCTCCCAAAAAATGGAGCTGCTTCCCGTTCTCCCAGAACATTGATTTTTGTGACCACAGTTACAAACCGCCTCCAGAGAGCCTGTTCTACACCAGACCAGTGGAGCCAGACTGCAGCTAGAGCCCATCATCATCCTCATCTGCTTGTAAGTAGGTAATCTAGTATATTATTCGTGGCACTAAGCTCTAATTTACCTCACATTAAAGAAACACTATAGTTCCCAGAACCACTGCAGCTTAATGTAGTGGTTCTGGTGTCTATAGCCTGTCCCTGCGGCCGCACTGCAGCACTGGCGTTAGTTAACATGGCAAATCATATGGGTGGAGCATTGTGATGTCACATGGGGGGGGGGGCGGCAAACTTTACTTTTGCCTAGGGCGGCAAAAATCCTTGCACCGGCCCTGGCTGGAGGGGGCTGTGTGAGCTGTGGCCGCACAGTGCCCCATGGTAGTTAGGGTGCCGTGCGGCCAGTACAGCTCACACAAGCAAACAGCTGATAAACTGGCCGCACGGAGGAAAAGTGGGGCGGAGCTAAGCAAAATTGGGGTGGAGCCAAACTGGCGCTGGGGGCAGGGCTTAATATGGCCCTTACCCACTGCTGTTAGGAGGTTCAGCAAGATGGAATCTCTGCTTCTCCACAGGCTTCAGAGAATTACTTCAGGGAATCCAGTCCTCCTCTGTCTGTAAGTAAGAGTGTGTGTGTGTGTGTGTGTGAGAGACTGTGTGTAACTGTCTGCCTGTAACTGTGTGTGCGTGCGTGTGACTGTCTGCCTGTAACTGTGTGTGTGACTGTCTGCCTGTAAATGTGTGTGTGGGGCTGCAGGGATTTTGTAGAAGGGGGCTGGGGTTTTGTATTGGGACAGGAGTCTTTATAAGGGGGGATAAGCAGGGGATTTGTGGAAGGGGGTTGCGGGGGTTTTGTAGACGGGGCAGTACAGGATTTCTAGAAGGGGCAGGACAGAGGTTTTGTAGGAGGGGCGGGGCAGGACAAGGGTTTTGTAGGAGGGGCTGACAGCGGTTTTGCAAAGTTTACAAATTGTAAAAAAAAAAAAAGAAAGAAAACCTTTAACATTTTTTACAGATTTTTTTTTCTGGGGGGGGGAGGGTGCCAAGCACAGGATCCACCCCGGGTGCCAAATGCTCTAGGTACACCCCTGCTGTAATGTAAACACTGCATTTTCTCTGAAAAGACAGTGTTTACAGCAAAAAGCATGAAGGTAATGATTCTACTCACCAGAACAAATTCAATAAGCTGTAGCTGTTCTGGTGACTGTAGTGTCCCTTCAAATTACAGTTTCTGATTAAATTAGATTAAATCAAGGGAGAGTAGCCAGGTGGTCATTGACTGTTGGGGTTGAAAAAGCTGGATAACTGACAAAACCAAATGAAACAATGGAAGCAAATATGTCTTATTTAAAATATTTTCTTTTTAATATTCTGCACTGCACACATGCTAACTTGCTGGATCATTGGACAATAACATTACTTAAAGGGGCACTCTAAGCACTTTAACCATTTCATAAAGTGGTTATAGTGCTGGAGTACCCTGCCCTTCCATTCCGTGTTAAAACTCTTTACATTAAGTTACAGACTGAATGAGGCACCCTCGCCACCCACAAATAAGAGCTGATAGAAAGTGAAGACATAGCACGTGTCAGCAATTACATAAAACAAAGTATTAAATTATTTGCCCAATTATCCTTATACACTTTTATTGTAATATAAAGTACATGCGACTTTAATAACGTCTATGGTATATGACATATCAAGATGATCTTGTGTTAAAACATTAACAGTAAAGTTCTTTATAACAGTCCAAACAGAAACTGGATTGCTCCTTACATAATTTTTATTTTATAATATTACAAATCCGTTATTTTTCCTTGAAAACTGATAACTTACAAATTCAACAGGCTCAATATATTTAAAACAAATAGTTGGAAAAACAACAAAACATTTTTTCCTGTTTAATTTATTTTTGTTAAAAACATAATTTAACATTTTTTTTAAGCCATATAACCACAAAGCAAAGAGTTCATTAAAGGAACACTCCATCGTGATAAATACATTTATTTATAACACTGGAGAGTTGAAGACTCCTCATGCCTAAAATTACTTACCTCTAATTCAGAAACAAGCGTTCCTCTCCGTAACTAAGCTCCACCTATCGAGAGATTGTTACCGATGATCTTCTGGCCAACAGAATTCTTCTCACAGAGAGAAGACAGGACGCATGCACAGCAATTGCCACACTGTATCTGCAAAAATGTAATGCTTCTCCATGAGAAGTCAAGCCTTTTTGCTTTGTGCTGGAGCACAAAGCAATGCAGAAGTGCACAGGTTTCTCTTGTGAAAGAGAGGATATTCTGTTAACCCCAATTAGCATGTTTGACAAGCGAACTGCCTAAATACCTAATTAATTATTAAAATTATGTTTTTGAGGAAAAAAGTGTTTTGTTTTTTTTTAACTTTGAAACATTAATACAAGAGAGTATGATTTCAGTTTACGTAAAGTTTTGGTTGTATGAGAAGGCACACATTCAAAAAGAGAGACAACAATCTGGTGCCTGTTGTTCTGAGGCAGGCATGCTCTTCCATAGCAATACACACAAAGGTCAAAGTGCACTCCTGATTTAGAGTCATTTATTTAGAGTCACACACAATGTTTTGGCTCACACAAAGCCTTTATCAGTTTAAGGTTGTGAAAACCTTTATAAGTAAAGCAGTGCGGAGCATTGCTTGTTTGAGACAAATTACTGTAGATCAGGGGTTCCCAATTAGTTTTTTCCTGTGGAACCCTTTGACACAGTGTATCAACATTGTGGAACTCCTCCTCCCCCGGTAAAAATGTTTTTTTGTAAATTGCGCCTTTTTTAAAATTTTGCGGTGTGTGTCAAAGTATGTATCTGTTTGTATGTGGCGGTGTGTGTATATGTGTCAATTTGTGTGTGTGTGTGTGTGTGTGTGTGTATCTGACACACTGGCACACAGATACACGCACCTTGACACACAGTGTGCATCTGTGTCTCAAAGTGTGTGTATCAAGGTGTATCTGTGTTTGTTTGTGCCAGTTTGTGTATCTGTGTGTATGAATCTGACACAGATACACACACTGGCACACAGTGTGTATCTGTGTGTGTGCATCTGTGTTTATTTGTGCCAGTGTGTGTGCCACACACACACCTTGATACACACTTGCACCTACAGGTGTACACACACTGGCACATACACACACACACCAATACTTACATACTGACATACACAAACGTTGACATATAGATACACACTGACACACTCTTTGATAGACTCACATACAAACACATATACACTCTCACTGACAAGCACACATACAAACTCCCTAACAGACACACATACAAGTTATTTGTATACATTTTTACTCCACCCAGCCTCCCTACCTCTGGGAGTGCTGGCATGGAGTCTCTATGTCCCTGTGGACCATTGGGGCTGCTGGGCTCGGCGTGCGGTCCCTGGGGTCCAGTGGGACTTCTGAGTAGCTGGGCGTGCGGTCCCTGTTGTCCAGTGAGGCTGCTGAGCATCTGGGCATGCAGTCCCTGGGGTCCAGTGCTGAACGGCTGGGCATGCGGTCCAGTGGGGCTGCTGAGCAGCTGGCGCCGAGGGAGCAGTGATCTTCGTGCTCAGCTCCCTTGCGCGCCTCTTAGTGATGCCGGAGTTGGAGTGATGTCATATTCCGGCATCACTGCTGTGCCTGCGAGGGAGCTGAGCAGAGGAGAGTGCTCTCTCACCGCCCGCAGCCATTTTGTTTCCTGACATTTTGGAGGAACCCCATTTGTGTTCTCCGCGGAACACCAATTGGGATACGCTGCTGTAGACACTACCTGGGTGCCAGTTGCCTTGGATGTATGATGCAATGTTTTAGGACACCAATCCACATTAACACGATAATAGTACATTTAAAAAAATATAAAAACTTACTGAATCCTGAACCCCACCTATAGTCTTCTAATTTAATGTAACATTAACAAAAAGGAAAACAAATGATTGTACTTGGATTCTGTGCAACCCCCCCATTATAATAGTTTGAAATAAATGCTTTTTATTGTTGCCTTTTTTGTACTTGTATTGTACTTACCTAATATCTAATTATCTGTTTGGTTTTCTCAGCTAAAAAATACAGCTATATCTCACTTTATGGCTTTCGTTTTGCAAAAGGATTAAAGATGGAGGTCAATGAGACCTCACCGCCAATTCATGTAGACAACATATCCCCCAATAAACTACTGCTGATTAGGCTAAAGATTCTTTAACATGTAATACAACCTAGTCAGATATGCCTTCAATGGCATTGTGTAAAGAAGACATTTAAAAAGTCACTTTATAAAATTTAGATATCTATATGGATTTAAAAAATATTTAGGAGTGATATAGTCCATGCTTACTGCTTAGTATATAATAACATACTGAAAAGGTGTCAGTCTTTGAGGTCCCTTTCCAGATAATGCTATTGTTCAATTGACCTTCAAACACACTCATTGACCATGCATCCTGCCAGACCAGAATCCATCTGGAATATTTTGAACAGATTAAGAAAAGTAGGTCTTCTGGTTTATAGAACATAACTAATGTATTTGTGTATAATCTAGAAGTCATCAGGTGATTAACCATTTAACTGCACTAGCCCTTTTATTTATATATTTTTCACATTTTCCTTACATGCTTTTATACCGGCACCTATTGGGTACTTTTTAACTGTCAGTTCTTAATTAGAATACACATTTTTCACCTCACATTTTTTTTTTTTTTGGGCAGTTAACCAGATTTTCATGACCAGCCTTCCCTTTTTAACTTTACAGTTATGCACCGGCGTCACAGATAGCACCTTTGCTACTATTCACAGTTTACAACAGTTTTTTTGGTTACACAATTCTTGAGCTAGTATTTATACAAAAGTATAAATTCAGTACACCAACACCCAACGAAACTTTAAAGATAGTACATTTTGTGCTGTTTGTTATGGATCCGAGCTCTGAGACACAGACACAAGATTGTTCTAAAATACCTTTCATACATGCCGTGGTTTGAGAGGCCATACTTACAGGGGAGATATATGTACAACACCCTCCATGTTAAATGAAGATGCTATGGAACCTGTGTCTGGAACCCTTGAGTCTGTTTTCCACTGTAAAGTACAACAAATGTCAAAGTATAGACAACACCATCATGGGAATGTAACCTTGAATAAAAAAAGAACATTAAGACTGTATTATTTGCAGTGTTGTCAAACCACTTTAAATGTTGAGGTTGCATAACATAGAAAACCTGAAGTTAGTGACAAAGACTTCCAAAATATGTATTATAGAGAGAGAATGGGTAGTAAAAATCAGTGAGGGCCCTATGCAATCCAAGCCACTTGGATGTAGGTACTACCCCAATCTCAAACGCTTTTGGAAACTGGGCGGAATATCATCCGGGGAATATTTTACTTTTTTTATAATCATTCTACTATAGTATTTTAAAAACAAATAATCTCTCAGTTGGTAGTTTTCCAACTCAGTAAAATTGTATGCAATCTATTATTAGAACATTTCCCCTCCAGAATAAGTTAACCAGCCTGCCTTAAAATGACATTTATTATTTTAAAGAAATTAATTTAAAATGTTCTTAAGTATGACAATGCCAAGTGTGCTTGAAAGTGAATTCTACAAAACCAAACTTCTCAAAACCTTACATTTCCAGTGTTATTAATGTATAAAAGTAATTACACTGGGCCAGTGACGATCTTAAAGAGGCTCTGGCACCATGTGAGGTCTTTGCATAATTTGGAAATAGTGACTGCTCTGCTGGCAATGCGATGTACAAGGGGCGCAGGGTAAGGCGAGTTATACTTAAGTCTATGGATGATCCCGCGACACCCTCCAAAGACACATACTTTTTCCTGGAGTTATTTTACCTAGTGGCAGAATGTTCATAAAAGGGTTTAAAGCCAAAACCCTAATTACTTTGCAACTTTGGTTTACTCTAGCAGAAATATGGAAACTATGGCAGAAGGTTCTAGAATGTGCCTGTAATCATTCAAAGTAATTAGTGTTAGGTAGGACAGGTGTGGCTTGAGTCAACAACCAGTCCTTGCTCGATATTTAGTGGTGGGGAAGCCAAAGCTGAACAGATTTTTTTTTTTTTTAAATGTTCAAAATTAGGACAATGTGTGCTTTTACCCTACACAGACATACACAATACTTTATAAATCTGTTTTGTACTCATGCAAAATGACAGTTACATAAGGTGTCTAGCATTTTCATTTTTGTCCACGACTCCGCTTATCTCGATTATCTCAATGCAATCACGTTGACATTATTCAACATCTGATAGTATTGTAATAGTACAGTAAATATTGCGATGTACCTTAATGAGCAAAAGTTAGCAACACTTTTATAGGATTATAAAACCTTTTGTTTTAAGTTACACATTTTATAGTTGTGGCAAAGAGAGTCAGATATAATGATCTAAAAAAATTTTTGACCAGCTAGACCTCCAATTATTCCTAACACCAGAACTGCTGAAAAAGAAAAACACGTTAACCTGGATTGAGAAAACATAAAAATGAAATACAAACAAATCTAATTACATTTTATTTTCATGATAACAAAAACACAAACCGCAAAAATAAAATTATACTCCGACATGCATTGCACATCTACATATTTTAGAATATAGATACAAAATTATTGTTGTAAAAGGAATAATGATGTAAAATTCTTCTATTTCACTCTGCATCACCAAAGAATATTATATTTTGGTTTTTTATAACTGATTTGTTTGTTATATCCAAGCAAAGATATTTATAAAGTGTCCATAATGTTCCAAAAATAAAAAACAGCCGATTATAGATTAACACAAAGCGAATCTGCTTTTGTATTTGCAGTGTTGTGGTGATGTGTGTTTTGGCACAGAATGAAGGCCTGTGCAGTGTCCTGTGTCCAAGGACGCATTGAAATGTTATACAAATTTACTTTCCCAAAGTAGTAACAAATAAAACGTATATGGATCCTTAAAAAAAATAGATCTCTTGTATACAATGTAGTTTTTCCAAGGGTACTGTAGAGTCTTATGGTCGCTGGACTAACTTGCTTTTATTCACTTCCTGCTCACTGAATTTGATTCGGGTATATGCTAAAATGCCAAACACGGTACAAAATATTCCGAGGGCCTGGTTTAGAGACAACGGGTCCTTAAATAAAATGTATCCTCCTATTAGAGTGATACAGAATTTAAAATGTCCAAACATATTGTATCTGCAAGAGTTTGTTAAGGATAAATGTTAAATGATTAAGAAAAACAGTAATTTCATACGATACTTGGACCTGGGTTATTAGGAGCAAAAAGAATAGAGAATAGTGTTTTCCAGAAAGACTGGAAGCGCATGTTGAAACACACAGTTACACACATTACTCGAACTGTTTCAAACTAAACCAAAGAAACAGACGTATATGTTTAAATGTGACCATAAAGAAAGCATTACTGGTAATTACGGCCATTAAGGTCACAATAAGGTCAGGTTATTGGTTGCTCCAAACACCATGACAACTTTTGTGATTTGAAGTGGTTATGGTGCTTTGTGTCTGTATGTACAGAACTTCACAACGAAATGCTGCAGATACAGAGATCAACCCTTTTTTAACAGAAGAGAAACTCCCCCACAGGCAGTGTCATTAGCCAGAGTTCTGGCAAGTCGAACGTCTATTCTGTGCATACTGGATGCCTTGTCAGCATACAGAGAATGCTGGCAACAGATGACCAATGGTGGCACAGCCCCCCCCCCCTCCATGCCACCCAAAATGGAGTGATGTTACAGGAGGGGTATCAAGCAATTGTTTTGCTGGAGCAGATCAGTAAATTCAGTTCTGGAGAAACTGCAGAACATTGAGCAATCACCACAGAAAACAATATAAGGTTGCTACCGATTGACTAACTTTTAAAGGAGAATTGTAATTTATTTACCTTCAAACCCATACTGCGCAAGTCTCGCTGCAGCTGCTGCTCCTCCCCAGGCTGAGATTAATATTAATTCCCCCATAGGGTAGCACTCAGCATTTCCTCATAGAGATGCATTATCCTCTGCATCTCTGTGAGGAAAGTCGGTCCCACATAGACTGCAGGATCAGAATAGGAAGTACCTTTAGAGGCTATCTGCCTGATACAAAAAGGCAGCGTTTACACTGCTGAGACAGTATTTTACCTAAACCACTAAATTAAGGTGTAGTGATTCTGACACTAAGAGGATCTATTTAGGAATTGGAAGAATTACTCTAGACCAGGGGTTCACAATTAATTTAAGCCCTTTGACATAGTGTATCAACATTATGGAACCCCCCCCTTTGTGCCATAGTGTATCAACATCATGGACCCCCCCCCTTGTGCCATAGTGTAAACCTTTCAATTAGTAGAGCATAATGTTTTCTTTTTCAGCAAATTAAGTTTTTCTGCAATATATATACAAATTTCTACAGATCGTAGTACTTCTGTGTGTAGAGTTGGTGTTTGTATATCATTTTAGAGTTTTAATACAGGGATGTGTTTGTATTTAATGTTTGCATTTGCGTGCAGAGATGTGTTTGGATGCAGTGTTGTATTTTTAAAGGACCACTATAGTGCCAGGAAAACAAACTCGTTTTCCTGGCACTATAGGGTCTCTAGGTCCCCCCCACCCTCAGGGTCCCACTCCCGCTGGGCTCAAGGGGGCTGAAGGGGAACTCTCCTCCCTCTTCCGACGTCAGCTCTGAATGCGCATACATGGCAAGAGCCACGCGCGCATTCAATCATTCCATAGGAAAGCATTTCTCAATGCTTTTCTATGGACGTCAGCATCTTCTCACTGTGATTTTCACAGTGAGAAGCGCAAATGCGCCTCTAGCGGCTGTCCGTGAGACAGCCACTAGAGGCTGAATTAACCCTAGTGTAAACATAGCAGTTTACAACTGTAGGGTTAATCCTAGATGGACCTGGCACCCAGACTTTATTGAGCTGAAGTGGTCTGGGTGCCTATAGTGGTCCTATAAATGCAGGTGTACATTTGTGTGTAGTATTGGTGTTTATATATAATTTTAGAGTTAGAGTTCAGGGGTGCCTTGGTATGTCATGTTTGTGTTTGCAGGAGTGTGTGTTGTGTAGGTGTTTCATTGCTGAGATGTCTGTACATGTACTGCCACATATATACTTAGACATTTACTTACACATATACATACATATTATCAAAAACACACCGGCACACACATACAGGTACACACACCTTGACACACAGATACACATACACACACACACACACACACAGGCACAATGATACACACATTCACACTGACACAGATGAACACATTGACAGATACATACACACACACACACACACACACAAACAGTCCCTACTGCTCCCTCTTTCCCTCCCTGCGATCTGTCTGGTAGGAAGTGCTGTCACTTCCTCCCAGCATCTCATACAACATGAGTCTGGTCGCAATCTTAGACGACTGTGGCACCTGACCGGACCCCTCTTTAGCGATACCCATCGACTGTCCCTAAATGCTTAATCCACCTGATGAACAAATCGCTGCGGAACCCCAATTTTGTTCTCGGGGAACCCTACACCAATTGGGAAATGCTTCTCTAGTCAAACAACTACAAAAAGACAGCAACCAGAATTGGATAAAAATAGTTTACACAGCTGTTTGTTCCAAGTGATGTTAGTGTCATGCAGTGTGTGAAGTCATGTGCATCATTTGGGAAAAGGCAGCTGTATGCACCAAGATCACATCAATTTGAGAAAGCATAGATGATCTTTAGCTACCATTTAAAGTTAAAAGGGACTTTCCACTTCCCAAATAAAAATAAACAAAAACCCCACTATTTAGTAATGTAATGTAGATATACCCCAATGAAAACAAGAATGCATGTATTATGCATTATTTTCATTAGGGATATATCTAAACATAGTATGCAGAAGCTGCAGATCTCATGTCTGCAGCCTTTGCAAGCCCTCTCCTTTTAACCCCTCCCAGACTTTCTGTGGCTGTCCAATCACAGGCTTTCCAATGCAACTCAATGAGAAGTCTTTGCAAGAAAGGTGCTCTGTTACTGCCTCCTGAGTTTAGCTCCACTGAGCTAAACAACCAGGAAGTAATAGGACTGGTTGTCTGATTGGCAATAAGGGGCTGTTGTAACCAGTATAATTTATAAAATTTTAAATTACTATTCAAATCTGCCCTATTTAGAAAAAGGAAAGAGAATACAATCTTTACACTTAAAAGGGACACTGTAGGCACCCAGACCCCTTCAGATAATTGAAGTGGTCTGGGTGCTGTGACCCTTTTGCACTTCGTTCCAGAGAAACTACGTTTACATTGCAGCTCTAAATCAGCCCTCTGTGGCTACTGAATAATGCTTTCCTATGGGGAGGTCTAATGCATGCGTGTTGTCATTGCTGCGCATGCGCATTGGTTCTTCCCTGATGTTGGCGGGGGAGGAGCGTGGGCGGATAGGAAGGATAGGTTCTTTTAACTACTGCTACACTGTAGTGTAACAGAAAACAAATACATTGGAAGTACTATATACTTTCATCCAAGATTCCACAGCACAGTGAGTCTATACCACTATAGGCACCCAGACCACCTCAGCTTAATGAAGTGGTCTGGGTGCCAGGTCCACCTAGGATTAACCCTTTCTGCTGTAAACATAGCAGTTTCAGAGAAACTGCTATGTTTACCTATGGGTTAATCCAGCCTCTAGTGGCTGTCTCATTGACAGTCGCTAGAGGCGCTTCCGTGCTCCTCACTGTGATTTTCACAGTGAGAAGACGCCAGCGTCCATAGCAAAGCATTGAGAATGCTTTCCTATGAGACTGGCTGAATGCGCGCGCGGCTCTTGCCGTGCATGCGCATTCAGCCGATGACAGGGAAAGGAGGGGGAGAGTTTCCGTCGCTGGAAAAAAGGTAAGATTTAACCCCTTCCTCTCCAACCAGCCCGGCGGGAGGGGGACCCTGAGGGTGGGGGCACCTTCAGGGCACTATAGTGGTCCTTTAAGCTCCAAATGGGGAGCAAATAAACACGTGCACAAATAAAAATCATAGTAAATGAATGCTCCATAGAATGACCGTTACATTTTTTTTTTTTTAAATCTTTATTTTAGCTGTCTAAAGTCTACAGGATTTGGAATCAAATGACTAGAATTGAATTCTGAATCCAACAAAAGCATCAGTTGGCCACTTCTGTTTCAGAGAGCAAACCAGGGGTGTAAACCACAGCTGTAGATGAACTACAGCTTCCATGATGCTATACCAGCTGGCAAAGCATCCTAACAGATGAAGCATTATCGTAGCTGTCATGTTTGCTTTTTGAACATTTTTACTGACAGTTCCTTTGTGCAGAGATCTCATCACTCATTACCTAAATGTTGTTGTTTTTTACCCAATGCGCAGAAAAAGGTGATTAGAAATGGTATATACATGACAGTCACTAGGTCATCTTCATTTCACACATATATTAACAGTATTTAGCAACTGCACATTTTTCTTCATATACTTTCAGTGTGTTTTGGAGCTGCCTTTGTAATTCCAAACAAACCTAAATACACACCACTCAAATTGTGCATAAAAGGATACGTGACTGGCGAGGTATTTCCAATGATCCAATAAATGGATAGATTGACGGTAAAAGCAATAACTCCAGAAAATAGTACCATCACCTAAAAAGATAGAAAGCGGGGCATGTAACTTCATTCAAGGCATCTACAAAAATATTCATAAAAACAAAGAAGCAACAACTTACAATGGCTGTAACAGACCATGGTCCAAATATACCCCCTTCTCCAACAACTGGTTCAAAAAAAGGTACGATAGACAGCAGCATGGCAGAGGACATTGGAGCCTGGTAGTATAACAACTGCATTGAATTCACCTGTAATTCGTGTTGTTTAGTTCCTACCCACTGTAAATAAAAGCATGTAATTAGACAGAAGTTAATTGCATTTAGGAGTGGAGATTTTGTACTATAATGTATACAATTACATGGTCTAGCCAACAGATGGTGGTGAGTAACTGACCACAAATTAGCTTTTCAACATTCAAGCACAAATAAATAAAAACAATAAAAATTATAAGGACTAGATTGCTAAAGGAACACTATAGTGTTACTGATACAAACATGCATTCCTAACACTATAGTGCTGGAGAACATATTTAGCTTCCCAGCCCACCTAAGAATGGAGGTGAAAGATATTTAAACTTTTCCTCCGTGACCACGCTGGTTTAGTCGCAGGTGGCCCCACCTCCATGGCTGAGATCATCAATTTTGATGATCTCGCACAATCTAATAGGAAAACATTTAGGGGCTATTGCGCATTAGCGGTAAAATGTAATCAATGCATCTCTATGGGGAGCATTCTAGTGTCCACCTGACTGATTGCCACTAGAGGTGTTATTAGGCAGCAGCGAAAATAGCAGTGTTTTCATCGCTGACCCTGTAGGGACAGACTATAGACACCAGAGCCACTACAATAAGCTGCAGTGGTTCTGGTGACTATAGCATCCCTTTAAGCTGAACTGACGGTGTAAGCACAGACTACTTGATCTATACACTTGGAGATTGAGGAAAAGATTAATTGAGGTGTGCCCAAATGCCACAGACGTTCAATGCTAAATCTTTCTTGTCACGAACGCACCCTACTTCAAGAGTGTGCGTGACGTAGTTGTGGTGGTGAAAGGGTTAAAGTACACTATTTGTCTGCACTAGACTGGAAATAATCACAAAATCCCTCTTAACACCACCGACACTTAACCATGATAATATAAATATTACTATTTCAACACTGCCACCACCAAGACAATTTATAAATGGGGTGCTTTGATCCCCCGGGTAACTTAATGATAAAAACCCACCAAATATAACTTAGCACAATATCTATGTAATTGCAAATTGACATTTCTGTGCAACCAAATGAACATAAGACAGCTTACACGTCAACAATGCAGAAGAAACAAACAGCTAAGTGGCTACAATAAATTGTCCTCTATCTCAGTGCTTTCAACCTCTCGGTACTCAGAGTTTGCACGTAATGCATGCACAATAAAACCACTCGATAATAATGAGTTTGATTTCTTGATTATGATATTACAAGTTAGGGGATGAGCTTTGGGCCTTGTGGATACTTTAGGTTTTTATTAATGTTATATAATATTTTGACAAAAACCCAATGGACAGCATGTACAGCTACCTAGTACCATACCCATTACAATACGCTGTAGGAGTAATAGTGCATGTAGTGTCCCTTTAATTAGTTAATCTTCCATAATATTGCATGTAGTAAAATACATTTAAATGGATCAGAATCACTACAGCTAACTGTATATAACCACTGTAGCATTTACCCGCAGGCCTAGCATTGTAAACGCTGCCTTTTCAGAACAAAGGCACTGTTTACATTGCTGCCTAGTACATCTCCAGTGATTGTCACTAATACTCGAGAGACTTTCTGCAATGTGTGCAGGACCTATGTTCAGAGTCTCCACACTCTGTATGGAGATGTCGAATACTCCACATAGAGATGCATTGACTCTGCAGATTCATTGTTTTGCTGCGCATGTGCAATAGCCTCATAGATCATAAAAAAAAAGTAAGAAAAAAGTATCTTTGCGGATGACACAGGGAGAGGAGGTAACACGAACAGGTCAGTGTAGCGTTAGAAATACAAAACGTATTCCCAATGCTAGATTGTTCCTTTAATGTCTCTGTGACAGCTATTCATTGCTACAATAACGGTGCTCCATTTAAAAGGGTGATAGAGAGGAAAGATAGCACATTACTAACCACTTGATAAAGCGAAGTCACTAGAACGCCAAGAGCTGCAAAGACCATGCCAAGCATGTTAAACTTCACGTCATAGTAGGAGTTAAGAAACACCCCTAATGTAATCGGTACCTGGAAGGGAAATGAGAAGAGTTAGAATTTCACCAAAATAACAGACAACAAAAGCTGGTTATAGATACCATCATCCTATCAATCACCCCAATATGTCCTGAGTGACATTCAGTGATACATCACTAATAAAAAATACAAAACCCCACAACACACACACTCCACTTTCTCAATATAGGACTGTTTAATATTTGAGCATCTAATTTTTAAGTAAAGTGTACGGATAGCTGATATAAAGTAGCACACTGGTGGTTAAAAACTCTTGTCCAATCTCCTTGGCCTCAGTAGATGAGTCCCTGAAGGTACTGAGACCTCCTCAAAAATAGAAACTCAAGACAGTCTGCTGTTTACTCTTTATACAGAGTTATAAGCAACCTATAGGCAGGGGGTGGACAGTTAAGGGAAAGAATATACAGGCTGTAATGGAGTGAACCCATAAGGCCTACTTGATTGACTGAGTTGGCTAAGATGGCCACTAAGAAAGTAGAATAGTGCTAAAAGGGATACTATAAGTGTCAGGAATACAAAGCGGTTACTGGCACTATAGCTCCATCTGCCTCCCCACCCTGGCACGTGCCCCCAGACAGTGAATAAAGGGTTAAAAATCCTTTATTTACTTACCTGAATCCAGCACCGATGTCCCTCGGTGCTGGGTAGTGGCTACACCTACTCCTCCATCCCATGATAAGCGGGCCCTAATGTGCATGCACGGCAAATGCCACACATGCATTAGACCTCCCCAAAGGAAAGCATTGAATCAATGCTTTACTATGAGGAAAAATCTGACGCTGGATGTCCTTATGCCACTTTTTGTCATCCATGCTCTGCTGTATCTGCCATTTTGAAAAAGTATTCCACAACATGTTTTTTGAGGGTCCTGCAGTCTTGCAGGATGTTCCATCAAGCATTTCTGTACTTTTTGCACACACGACAGAATAACAGGAGCTGAAGACAAAACCAACAAGATGTATATTTTACTTAAGCTTTTTACCTGAAGCTCAGCACATCAAATGGGCATGTCACTTCCTGGGGTCTTTGAAAATTATTTTGACCTAGGTTAGAGCCCTTAGTGGGGTCTGAAGAGCCTGTGGTATCATTTCATTGTTTCCCCAAGTTCCTTGTGGCAATACTACTTCAGTTCAACATATTTGTAGTTAATATTTGTAGTTAATTATTGTTAGCGATATTACTAAGGGTGCAAAAAGAGAAAAATTAACCACATTCCAATCACGTGAAGATCCGGGTGCTAAACTGGACCAAGAGCCAGCACAAGCCCCAGGGAGCAGATATCAGTGGTAGAAAGAGGATCCAGGCACTCCAAGTATCTTCAGTTTTATTTATTAGGGCAAAATTAAACACTACAACGTTTCGACCCCTGAAAGGGTCTTTGTCAAGCTTGACAAAGAGCCTTTCAGGGGTCAAAATGTTGCGGTGTCTCACTTGTCTTAATAAATACAACTGAAGATACTTGGAGTGCCTGGATCCTCTTTCTACCGATGATTACTAAGGGTGCAAACTTAATGAAGTTTGTGAAATCATCACGGAAAAAAGGCTTATTACTTAGAATACCAACAAGATAACTTCAATGTGAATTCTCTGGCATTGGTCACATTTTTTTTACATTTCAGGCTAGAAACATGCAATTTTCAAGCTCTGCTAGTTTGTCCTTATAGCTCAGTCACACACTTTTTAGTGAATAAACCTGCTAGCAATAATGCATGTATAGCAGCGTTCAGTAAGCAATAGATTAATCCAAACACTGTCACATGTCTAGCAGAAAACATTCACAGCTGACAAGTCCTATGAAAAAATATACTCCAAAACGCACCAATATATTTAACGAAAAAAGGCAAGCAAAAAAGGCACAGTGATTAAAATATGATAAAACACAAAATGTATTTACAGCCACAAATGGAGGTGTTGCCTTGTGAATATATGGAATGAGGTTGGACTCACCAAAGTGAGCTTGGTCTTGAGGTTAAAGGACTTCCCGTACCAAAGAGTCTGTATGAGGATGATGACAGGGGTAGTCATGACCTTTGCCAGTTGGTAGGTACCTATGGTGTTGTTCTGAAGCGACAGGTTGGTGAAGACCACAAACCCACAGAAGCTCAGCGCTAGAAGCAGCACCTTGGAGGCAGGAAGGCTCTTGGGGCAGAAGACCCCGAATGTTTGACAAATATACAGTCCCAGCCAAGTAACCACAAAGTGCACCAAGGTGAGGCTCATGTTGGGGAAGCCATAATGTATGTAAATCCACTTGTTCACGAACACAATACAGATGGACGAGAGCAGGTTAACCAGAAGGCCAGCAGCAATTTTCCAGGGCAAAGACACACGCATGGCAGAAGGAAATGGGCTAACAAAATGTGGAATTCAGCAGTCAAAGGAGCAGCAAGGGGGTAAATAAACAAAATAAGACCAGCAAATAGGGTGACAATTTATGGCATCTAGTGTAACAAACTATAGAAGCTGTGGTAGTTATGGAGGCTGCAGCAGGGTTATAATGTAATAGTAAAGGGAGCACTGGGGCAAGTTAATATAAGAGATGGGCATTGACTACCAAGTAAGAAGTTTAGTTTAGAAATGAAAATGGGAAGTGACTTAAATTAATCATTAAGTTTAAATGTAAAAAAATATATATATATACACAAATAAAAAATTTTTTAAAAAAAGAGTAAGTGCCAGATGCAATAACTAAATCAGAGAAATACAGTGCAAGTAATGGGAAAGGGTAAGGAGTTAAAAGGACATTACTTAACAGGGATAGAATAAAAGGATGGAGGCAAGTAAAACAAATAAAGTTTATCACAAACAAAAAGCATATCCAGCATGCAGACCCTAGCAGTGCATATAATAAAAATATAATCAATCAGTGCTCTATAGCAGCAGCATAGCCCAACCACACACAGCACCCTCTCTCTGGCCGGGGACTGACAGAGGAACACGCGCATGCGCACTTCCGTCGCGCTCGACACGTCACAGCGATCCATTCACTATTGATTCACTGCGCTTACAGGGCAGCAAATCACAGGGCGCAGGGAAAGTGGGCGGCAACCAAGTCAGGCATTGATTGGCGTCGGCATATTTTTTTTTGACCACACTAAAAATGGCGGCTCTCGTGACGCCTCATGGAGCGCGGCCATTTTTGTCTCGGGCAATGTGTTTGTGAGCCAAGTTTTAGTTTTAGACTAAGTGAATCTCTTTTTTTTGGAGACATAACGGTTTTAAAAAAATTCCAACGACTAGAGCAGAATTTTTTTAAAAACAATTCCTGTACCAGGATTATAATTATAATAAGATTAAAATAAATAAATAAGTAAACTAAATTGTGAAGAATGCAGCTAAGTGGTTGATTTGGGCAATTCCTTTTACCTCAGAGTGTATAAAATATATGTATATATTTTATTTTTAAACTTTCTTGTGGTGTTTTAATTACCAACACTTATGTGAATGAAAACTGTAAAATAAACAGGATATGCAGTAAAGAATTGCACATTTTCCAGTGTGCCAAAAAAGTGCAATACCTGTAGGTTTAAATACTATTTGTTGTGTTAAATACTGTGCGTGAAAGGACACTATAAAGTCCATAAACGCCATATCTCACAGCTGTAGTTATGTAGAAAGGTATTTGGGTTCCATCTCCTAGGTTTACGTCAAAATGATTTTGTGTTGTTTGATGAAAAAAGAAAATAAAAGTGTGGCTTTCCCAAAATTTAAAGCTAAACTTTCATGACAGCCTTGTATTAGTGGGGAATGGAAGGGGGTTGACAGGGGGTCCTGGAAAGCTCTGACTCTAGGTCTGACACTATTTGTTAGCACCGAAGACCCTGTAATACTAAGAGAGAAATAGCACTTTCAACTACATAATTAGTGACAGTGTCACTTTAATGCCACATATTTGGAGTTAATTATACAGCACAGGCTGAGGGTATCAGTTCGGGTTAAATCGCCAAGACTTGAAGTTAATGCAGCAGTTGTGGAGTTTATATAACTATAGGTGTACATAATATTCTGAAATTATTCAAAGATTAGGTGCCACAATGTGATTTATAGAACATGTTAGGGTTTAGGGTTGGATGTAGGGTGTGGTAGAGGACATGTTTTGGGAGAGGCAGCCTCGTCTGGACTAATGCACCCCCAGCACTTGCAGCCTAAATTATATAAACAAAACAGAAGCACACCTATTCATTCCCTGACCACTCAGGCAGGGTGTAGCTTAAATTGCCAGGAGGGCCCTGGATATTGCAAAACTGTTCAAAATGGTTTGGAGAAAACTGGGAAAGCAGACTAATTGCACCATAAATATTGCAATGAACTTTAGCGGTTATGGCTTTTATAATGCTTAAGGGGACATTCCAGACCCCTAAGGCACTTAAGTTTTTTTAAAATACTTTATGTATGAATAGTGTGCCCTCTTTTTCATTTTTCAAAACATGTAGATTTCAATAGAAATTTGCACATTTATAAATTAATATTGTTACACCCCTCTGGCTGTCAATCAGACAATAGCTCCTGTAACTTCCTGGTTGTTTAGCTCAGTGGAGCTAAACTCAAGAAGTAGCAGTTGCTCAGATCACCTGCCATGCAAATACTTCTTGTTAAACTGCATTGCGAAGTCTGGGCGGGGTTAGAATGGCAGGGCTTGCAAAGACAGCAGACAAGTGATCCACAGCTTTTGCAGGCTGTTTTTTTTTATATACCCCCAATGAAAAAATGCACAATTAAATACATGCATATTTTAATTTGTTGTATATTTACAAAACTGAGATAGTTGTTAGTTTTGTATTTGAGCAGTGGGGTGTCAGTTTAATTTAGTAGTGGTGACAAGAGTGGCACAACACTTCATGCATCTTTCTTTTTTCCTTATAGAATTCAGGCAACTAGTTAAAGTTTTACATTCCCTCATAGATGAATCTGAGGTAACCAGTACCCAATAATGGTTCATTTGTTGAGTAATTTCTGTTGGTGCAGGAAGTGAATAAAAAAAAAGTTGAAATGATGATTAGTGAACTTTGGTCTACAGCTGCTTGGCTGATTGTTACTTTAAAAAGGTCTTGCTTTATTTGGGTGATGGGGCGAAGTGTGTGGGAGAGAAATATATACAAAACACTACGATGTTAATCCAGAATATTCTAAACTAATCCCAAAGGATTAGCTAAAAGAGAAGAACAGGCAACACAGTAGAAACAAAATAATCTTTGCTATATACTATGTATTT